GAGTTCCTTCTACAGACACAATCATAAGAGAGTGTGGAACACCCAAGTCATCATCAAAATCATCATCACTGTTTGGGGTTCTTGGTGTCTTATCATCATCTAGAGCCACATTTTCAAAACCTGCATCGTCAATGGAACTCATACTGAAAATTATAAAATGTAGCCATATTAGATTAATAAATAACAATAAACAAACCTAACAATATTTAATGTAGACATTTTTTTGGAATAAGAAAAATTAAGGAAATATTAATAAGAGGTTAAGCGTATGTTTTCTGAATAAAATAGGGTCTTGAAACAAAACAATTTTTCATGCATTATTTATACGATTCAATTACACTGCTATTGTCAATATCTTATCAGTAAGAAGGGTGATTGGGCAGATACTCACTTATAAATCACTCTTTTTACACACACCTATATGTTCATTCAATATACTTTGTTTAAACTATTTAAACGCATGTATTTAAATTTTTGGTTGCTTAATCAGATTATTTATATTAAACATTCTTGAATTTTCATAAAAAAATATTATAATACAGTATAACAGGTGGTAATTGTTAACTATCTAACCAAACACCATGGAGCTGAAAATAAAAGTTTTAATAAGTACTAACAGGAATTACGATATATAATTTAATTGCTAAGATGTTATGAAGTCATCTACTCGAATTAAAGCATTGCATACCTCAAAACAGTAAAGCAACTTTATTTATTTGTGTAAAGTTTTTTTAATAGAAACGAGGTCGACAATAAATTATTGAGGCAACACGCCTTTTCAGACGTTATATGGGTTGCCTAGCCACACCCTACAGTGGTCTCTGGAGGAATTCCCGAGCAAACTATACATACAGGGTGTTCCATAGTTATGTCCTTATAAATAAATACATATTAGCGCAGAATATTTATTTTAGTCCTATAAAGTGTTTATTTTTACTGTGATAAGCTCTTCTTTGATAAATAAAACGTTAAAATTGTAAAAGTGAAAATATTGTAAAGTAAATACATAATTCTAGTACTTAAATAATATCAAAATTTTATCATTTTCTGCTGTTGATTATTCAATAACTTAATTTAAATTAACTTAAGAAATAGTCGTTGTTATTTTTATCAATTAATTACCTGCCTATAGAGAACATTAATGTTTCTTTTCTAAAATTTTGTGACTATTTTTGTATTAAATAGGTAGGTATTCTATTATTTGCGTTTATATGGGATATGTGACTTTAAACAATTTCCTACAACATAAAAGCGAGAATAGCTGAACACGTACGCTTATTTGACGCAAAAATGGTTAAGACCTGCATTTTTGATTATATTCGTCTATTCAATATCATAAAGAAAATAATGAAATTATTTTAAAGACGCTCAATACATTTATTTGATAGGTGTATTATACACATGTATAGTTTTTCGGATGTTGTTACATTTACGTAATACGTGAAAGTAAATAGAACTTTTACATTTAAATAGTAACAAAATACTAAAAGTTTAGACAGTTATAAATTAAATTTAATTGTTCGTTTGAAGTGTGGATTCTCATTATTTTTTCATATTAACTTTCACTATCTTTGATGAATTGAGTTTGTCTTTTCTGTTTTAATTTAAATATCCTTCTTATCAATGTGTGACTGGGTATAAAAATTGGAATTCGTTTTAGGATTAAGGAGATTTCTAAAAACATCTGTCTTGCTATGCAACAGCAGTATACTTACAGCTTTTATTGCAACAGCGTCTTTTATACATAATGTTCTTGTCTTTAGTTCGACAGCTACTAACTAAAAGCTGGTCAGTGGGGAGCGATAAGAGAAAGGACAGTCGCAAGGTAGGTGAGAGGGAAACTTATGATACAGTTTTTCGATTTCTTTTCTAAAATTTTTGTAATACGTTACTATCGGCCTTAGTATGCCTCATGCAATGCTGTGGTCAACAGCAAAAGTGGTGTAAGTGAACGGTGCACAATTAATTAATTAATTAAAAACCCAAAACCATCTTCAACTAAATTCTACAATAACTCAAACTTTCTTCTTCCTTTCGAAATATTTTTGTTCTTCTTTTTTAAAAACTTATATTTTTATTAATTAATGATCGTTTCTTTAATTATTTAATTACTCTCTTTGCCTAAATATTTTATAAATTTAAACTGTTCATAATTGTTTCTTCTACGTAAAATTTTTGGTTGAGTCTATGCGTTCATAATCTGAAGTTAATTTGGAAGAGCAAAGTTGAAGATTTTTTTTGGGCAGGATTAAAATTTAATAATTAATCACGGGCAAAATTGGCATAATTCCAGTTTATTCCAGATTACTGTACGCCGCAACAGAGTGACCAAATGGGAATAGTAAATGTTATTTAAACGATCAAAATCCGCGCGAACTTCAAAAAAGGAAATATTACCGTACAAGTGAAGTGTCTTGTGTTGGATAAAGTACAATGAAAGTGCCGTATTTTTGTTTGTTTCTATTTATTCTGGGCATCGAGGCCCAACGAAGGAATTCGGTAAGTGACAATAAAAATAAATTAATACTAATAACACTAACGACAACTAAAACAAAAATCAAATACACCGTTAAAATATTAAAATAAAACCTTAAGAATCAAGATAAATATGAAAAGTCTTTTTAATGCGTTAAATATTTGAAAAACACAAAAAGGTTAGTTTCTCCATCTTTTAATATAACGTGGACTATTTTTGGATTAAAATTTTATATGCCAGACAGCTTAAATAAATCATAAATTGGTAGAATTATGATTCGGGCTAAAGGGTCTTGGTCTAAATCACTAAATGAATCGTTAGGCCAAACGTTTCGTCAATAACTGTGGCTGACATCTTCGGTGGTACTGCATTGACAATGTCGGCGAGTGCTATACCTCGAAGTCTCGATACGACTGAGTCCCCTACTGAAACGTCTGGACGACGTCCCTTCGTCCCGAATCATATTTCCACAATGAATTCCGTCTAAAAAACCCTATGTTGTTACATTAAATCCCAAATTGGCCAATAAAATAGAAAGTAAATAAATAATGAACCCCAAATACCACAATACTGATAAAACGCGGACATGTGTTTCGCCCACTTGGACTTTCCAATGTTGTGGTTTTTGGGGTGAGCCCTTTTGGGCCATATGACTATCATCAAGGTAGACTCCCAGTTAGAGGCGAAACACTGGTGTTAGTTCTGCACGCAAATATAAACCTTTTAACCCTTAATTACCCAGATTTTTTTGCTTATTATAATAATATTACATGGGTAAGAGAGTACACAGGATGATGATAAAGCAGTAGTGGTTCTTTCCAGAAGTCCTTTGATTTAATGAAAAACATAATTTAAAAACGAGGGTGCTTGCATTTAGGTGTAGGTGAAGGTATAGCTACCATGGCAGCTACTAAAGTCCTAACTCGTTCTTGTTAAACACTGTAAGCGTAACGAGACAGTTATTTGTAATGAAATATTGTAGTTATGTAGTAAGTTATTAATTATTACCTATCGTGTTATTAATGCAAGTTTGTTACGTGACATCGTTCTTAGTACAACAATGCGGTATTTTCGTGAACTAAAGCATAAAATTGCCACGTAAACCGTAAAAAAAATTGAAAAGCAACAGCTATTTAATAATTGTTTCTAAACCAAGTTTATTTTAATACATAGTGTAAAAAAGAGAAACTAACGGTGTCATATTTGAAAGACGCCGTATTCTATTCACACAAAATAGTAATAGCATTTCGATTCTTCTTCATTAAGAAAACAGCCGACTACCAGATTACGATAACATTATGTATATTTTGAAATAGCCATGTCATTGATCGACACCGCAAAAAGTACTGTGCACTTTTTGTACATTAAACCGTTACAGTTTAATGAAAATGAAAAAGATTGAGTGACAAATCAAAGAGCTCAAAGAAGTTCCATCGCTGAAAGCAACTATTAGTAGTAATAGGTCCAAGCCCCAAAATTCAAAAGCTTCTATTTGATCTACATCTGCAGCAATATAAAAATCGAAGTTATACAATAAATTTTCCTTCATTGTATTCGCATTACTTTTGTATTGTCGTTCATAAAACTAATTGAATTCGTTTGATGTAACTGACTGAAATGATATTCAATTAAAGTTCACCTAAAAATAACACTTATCAAAATAATCAAACGAATCACAGCAGAAGTAGCAAAATTTTAATTGATTATTGTCTATATTAAAAAGTAAAGACTCAGATTGTAATGTATCGTTTATTAGACACGATAAAGCTTGCAATTAAGGTATTTGCTGTAATTGGCTAGACTAGTTACATTAACGGCTTCGGACCAAACGGAATGTTACAAAGAAGGAAAGTTATTATACAACTTAAAAGAGGAAACAAATATTTTGTTCCAGTGATGATTTTATAACAATCATCTACAACACGAAACTAAAAATTAGTTGGCTTATCGACACTTGGCAATCTTTTAGTTGTTTGTAAAAAATATTACTTATAAACAGTTCATTTATGTAATGTACAACAAGTATAACTGTAAATTTTTACTGTCTGTAAATTGAAAAGTATTAATAATGTCCAATTTTAGTTTAAGACAGTTTTCAGAGAAACAACAGATATTTTCAGATAGTGTACTTTTTATATTTGGGAAACATTTTGCATTCACTACGTATAATTTGAATGTTATCTTCCTCTATATCATTTATAAAATGATATAGAATTTGTATATGCACCAAACGTTTTAAAATGCACTCATAGAGGGTTTTGAACATTAAAACCAAAAGCGTTAACATTTACCACGTTAGCAACTGTAAAATGATTCTAATTCACTCGATACTAAATTTCATTCCAGACCTTAAAACTCCTCTAGGGGGACAAGAACAATTTCTGTTGAATTACTTTAGGGAATGCAAAATTTCCAACTCTATCATTGGGTGGAAGTATTTCGTTTTAATATATCAGTTAAATCTAAATAATTTTGAATCAATATTGTCCTCTCAAATCATATTGTAAAATACACCCAGTTTGTGACACCCTTAATGGACATTTTGTTCTTTCTTTCAAAGTAGATAACCCATTTATATTGCTAGAAATTCTCTAGTTTAGTAAAAGTGATGTATTGTATTTTGCTGATTATTTTTGTCTGTGAGTTTATTACCTGGCATTTTGGTAATACCGTTTTATTCCCTTCTCTAATATAAGTCATCAAAATTTTGTAATATTGTAACGGTTTTCTTGACGTTTTTCAGGTGAAAGTAAACTACACGCTAAAAATCAGGTTTTAAAATGATCTCCATATAAGTTACTGCATGTCGAAAACCTCGAAATACTCGTCCAACAAGGACTATGTTGTTATTACATATTTAAAGCGTACCTATATTTCGTGTAGTTTTGAAAAATTACTTCACTAATGACTTGTTTAACACGCGGTTTATCGTAGAAATTTTGTTAGTTCATTTGTTATTGTGTAATGATTAACAACGGATTAAATAAAAGACACAAACAAATTCAGAAGAAGTAGCTTAAGTATTTCATATAATGATGTACTTGCGTTTGTAGTTACAAGCTATCAACTGTAATCAAGTAGACAGTAAGAAAGTACTCCGTTCCTAAACTTAAGTGCTATTAAAACATAAGTATTTGGCTTTTGACGATCAAGTATGACCCATAATATTTTTGAATAAAATTAAAGTCTGTCTTCACTCTACTTGACTCCTCCATTAAATTAGAAGAAATGCTTTGGTATTTACTAAAAGTGTGACAAATTAGTTAATTGTTTAAAATATTTAAAGCATTGGCAGATGTAGTGTACAAAAACTGTTGTTTGTCTAAATGATTTGTCAAGTTAATTACCTCAGTGCAAGTACCTTCCATGATTCCTTAACGCTTTCTCTTTTATCAATAATACCATCCTGTTTTTACTTATTTATATAGACGTTCACAAAAGTTAAACCATCAATGTAAATTAGTTTTTGGGCTTCAGGTTCTTCAAGTTGAAGTTTTATCGTAGAAGAATCATAAAATAAATTACAATGTATGTATAATTAATATCTGTTTTCACAAATTGTACTTTACAAGTTGCGCTAAGAGAAAGCCGCAATTAATCAGGATCATTTAAGGTTTTTATTCTTCATAATTTGACTGATTGTATAATTTTTCTGGGTATCAACGAAAAGTAAACACTTTAGGCTATTTACTTTTTTAATAACTGTTCTTTACGCAATAAACAAATTAATTTACCTGTAATAATATTTGCTAATAATCATGTTAGAATTACATACTAATTAGTGGATCATGTTTTAATTCCATAAATGATAATTTCCATGCTGTATACGTATGTATATACTTCCCAATTCTATAATTCATATTCAGTTATGTGGAAAATATTTATACATATAGTAATTCAACTTTCGCCGTATGTCTTTACTGCAGTGTTAAGAAATGAAATTTAATAAGTTAACTTTTACTTTCTTGTAACATATCAGTCTACAGTTTAAAACAAATCTCACAATTAACTCAAAGTTATTATTATTAATTACAATGACTGTTAATTGGTAGTGCTTTGTGGATATTTATTTTATTTGCTCATGTTTTAAATGACAACTACTATATTAGGATATAAAAAGATCTTCATTTCTTAAATGGTTCAAACAAATATAAAAACATTATTATTGTACCATTTTTGATATGAAAATTGATTTTAAACTCATTAGGAGGATTGCTACTGTTTTTAGTAGTTAATCTGTATTCAAGAGGAGGTAGGCAACCTGAAGTACCCCCTACGACTGTCATACGATAAAATGTTATTGATAAAGAACAAGTCATTTATTTTCATTAAATAAAATGAAAATTCATATGAAAATTCTAAAGAAATAATCATTTATTCTCGGAGACATCAACAGTGCGTTAAGCGACGAACCTGATTCAATTTCGTTAAAATTTCCATTTTTAAGAACACAATTGGATAATAATTTTAAAATTTTAAAAACTCTTCGCTTTAGGTATAAATTCATGATTAATTTGTTAAACAGAGACGATCAATTAAAATCTTGTAGAGAATTTTGATCTTATTATTTAAAGATATGTATTTAAGATAGTTTTAACTCAAACTCGTATACATATAGCAATAAATTTGTGAGAAACAATTTAGTAAACACTATAATATTTGTTACTTCTTTTGTGTTATTTTCTTAGAATGCT